GTTGGCAGGACAACAGAAAAAGTCTACATTTCCTTTGAAATATGTCATCGTATCTGTTATGTCTACCTGAGCAGATAGACAAGACCTGAATTCAACATCTCACATAAAGTATGAAACTAATGTAAATGTAGCCTCTGGTATTAAAACATCAGTCTGAATTATCTGCTTAATTTAGGGAGCATAACATAACATATTACATCTGAGTCAGAAAATTACAGTTATCAACTGTATCAAACTAATACTTAGTCACAATTATGTCATGCCTATATATTTTTTTCAGTGTTCACATCATCACTGTGCAGTCTCTGGAGTAACATAGTTACATTACATAATCATTTTAGCAGAAGAAATTTACACTATGCTCTAATACAGCAGATGATCTCTAAATTGGACCATCACATGCAGGACACACCATGGCCTAGATTTTCCACTAGCCAGACAATCATTATTCCAGCGTACATGTGAGTTAAACATGGGGTCCCAGCAGTATCCCCATCATAACACACTCCAAAGAAGTTGCCTGGGAATTAGAATTTTCTGCTATATGCCGGGATCTCTCTGAAACTTTCCACTTAAATTTGAGACTTTGGAGGATTCCAGAGAATTTAAATAAAACAATTACTCAGGAAAACTTAAACAAATAAATTAACAGTTTAACACCTGAGTAACAATTCAACAGTAATAATTCATGCACACCTTATACACATCCAACTGCACTTTCCAAACCTCTTACAACCCCAAGACCTGGCCCCAACACTAACCAGGGACCTAACCCTCCCCATTACCCCCATCCCCGCTGGACTGGACCTGAAACTCACCCCCTTCTGGACCTGACCTGACCCGGCACTAATGCCCCAGCTAGACTCGACCCAACCTGACCCCTTAGATGTACCCCCTACCACTGAACTGTACTGGACACAGCATCCCCCTCCCAGTTGCCCACTAAGCCTGGCCTAGCCTAAATTCTACATCACTTAGCTTGCCATTTTGAACCCTGGCACCCTAGCCATTTGATCCTACCTGCCTGACACTTTACCAACTGGCATCCTACTTACCCTACTCCCTAACCATCTTGCATCCTACTCTTGGCACACTACTCCTTCTCCAGATAGTTGTCATTCCCAGCTGACATTCTAAGGACATGTCCTGAACTTTCTGGTGCCTTACTTACCTGTCCCCTCTACCCATCTGACACCCTACCCTCCCAGTACACTAACACCACATTTCCTTATGTGGCTGGGATCTTTAAATGTCAGCCACAGCCAAATGGTGTGAAATGGACTGTCAAAATGGGAGTACAGCTCCACATTTCTGAGGAAGCCCTGAGTAGAATCTTCTCTCAGAAATGCAAAGTTCTTTTTCCTTGTGGAAAAATAAACATACGGCCAGGGTGGCAATTTGAGCGAGATTGCCACTTCCCTAAAAATCCAATGTCTGCCACAAAATTGATACGTGAGATAAAAAAAACATGAAGAGCATGATTCCAATGTGAGACTGAAATGAAGGTCAAAATTATTTTAGATTTGCCCTTATAATTCATGAAATTACCAGAATTGTTTAGATCAAAATTCATTTTCATGAACCACCCAAAGTCTGTGTTTTCCTTTTGCAACCTGGATGTTGGATTTTGGATAGTCAATTATTTGTTGAGCTAGCTCTATTCATGATGGTGACTATTGTGATCTTCTGATTTTAACATCAAGCAGACGGTCAACCTTTATATTGTTTATACATTGGTTTTAGTTTTAAGTCTTAGGCTTCAGTCTGTGAGTAAGACATAAAATCTAATTGTTAGATCTGTAAATATGGTATTGTTTGCTATCATAACAAGATACCTAGCATATCACTGAAAACACAAAACTACCTTCCTACTAATTTACAGCAATGTAAAAAGGAAATGGAGATCGATAGAACAATTGATCATTTGAGGTCAGAGTGGCCTTTGCCCAAGACTGAAAACAAGATAATTTTAGTAGCACTGTGTTTCTTTTGCATGTCCTGCTGACAGAAATACCTTCTTCACCACACCCCAAAATTTATTCCTTGGTATCCAATCAGATAAAACTCAAAAAACACACAGTAGAGAGATGAGGAGACTACATTTACAACAAAAGGACTGTTTGCAAAATTAAAAATCACAAAATAGCAAACTACAATAGAATGCACCATGTGTCATATTTAACATTCTAGCTTTGTTTCTTAAGTATTGGAAACGCTATAGTTCGAGTACTTTAGATGGGTCAGTTTTTGTCCAATGTGTGCAGGAGGGTTTCCTGACACAGTATGTAGATAGGCCAACAAGAGGGGAGGCCACATTGGATTTGGTACTGGGTAATGAACCAGGCCAGGTGTTAGATTTGGAGGTAGGTGAGCACTTTGGTGATAGTGACCACAATTCGATTACGTTTACTTTATCGATGGAAAGGGATAGGTATATACTGCAGGGCAAGAGTTATAGCTGGGGGAAAGGCGATTAGGCAAGATTTAGGATGCATAGGATGGAGAAGGAAACTGCAGGGGCTGGGCACAATTGAAATGTGGAGCTTGTTCAAGGAACAGCTACTGCGTGTCCTTGAGAAGTATGTACCTGTCAGGCAGGGAGGAAGTGGTTGAGCGAGGGAACCGTGGTTTACTAAAGAAGTTGAATCTCTTGTCAAGAGGAAGAAGGAGGCTTATGTAGAGATGAGGCGTGAAGGCTCAGTTAGGGCGCTTGAGAGTTACAAGTTAGCCAGGAAGGACCTAAAGAGAGAGCTAAGAAGAGCCAGGAGGGGACATGAGAAGTCTTTAGCAGGTAGGATCAAGGAAAACCCTAAAGCTTTCTATAGGTATGTCAGGAATAAAAGAATGACTAGAGTAAGATTAGGGCCGGTCAAGGACAGTAGTGGGAAGTTGTGCGTGGAGTCCGAAGAGATAGGAGAGGCGCTAAATAAATATTTTTCGTCAGTATTCACACAGGAAAAAGACAATGTTGTCGAGGAGAATACTGAGATACTGGCTATTAGACTAGACGGGATTGAGGTTCATAAGGAGGAGGTGTTAGCAATTCTGGAAGGTGTGAAAATAGATAAGTCCCCTGGGCCGGATGGGATTTATCCTAGGATTCTCTGGGAAGCTAGAGAGGAGATTGCAGAGCCTTTGGCTTTGATCTTTATGTCGTCATTGTCTTCAGGAATAGTGCCAGAAGACTGGAGACTAGCAAATGTTGTCCCCTTGTTCAAGAAGGGGAGTAGAGACAACCCTGGTAATGATAGACCAGTGAGCCTTACTTCAGTTGTGGGTAAAGTGTTGGAAAGGATTATAAGAGATAGGATTTATAATCATCTAGAAAGGAATAATTTGATTAGGGATAGTCAACACGGTTTTGTGAAGGGTAGGTCGTGCCTCACAAACCTTATTGAGTTCTTCGAGAAGGTGACCAAACAGGTGGATGAGGGTAAAGCGGTTGATGTGGTGTATTTGGATTTCAGTAAAGCGTTTGATAAGGTTCCCCATGGTAGGCTATTGCAGAAAATACGGAGGCATGGGATTGAGGGTGATTTAGCGGTTTGGATCAGAAATTGGCTAGCTGTAAGAAGACAGAGGGTGGTGGTTGATGGGAAATGTTCATCCTGGAGTTCAGTTACTAGTGGTGTACCTCAAGGATCTGTTTTGGGGCCACTGCTGTTTGTCATTTTTATAAATGACCTGGATGAGGGCGTAGAAGGATGGGTTAGTAAATTTGCGGATGACACCAAAGTCGGTGGAGTTGTGGATAGTGCGGAAGGATGTTGCAGGTTACAGAGGGACATAGATAAGCTGCAGAGCTGGGCTGAGAGGTGGCAAATGGAGTTTAATGCGGAAAAGTGTGAGGTGATTCACTTTGGAAGGAGTAACAGGAATACAGAGTACTGGGCTAAAGGTAAGATTCTTGGTAGTGTGGATGAGCAGAGAGATCTCGGTGTCCATGTGCATAGATCACTGAAAGTTGCCACCCAGGTTGATAGCGTTGTTAAGAAGGCGTACGGTATGTTAAGTTTTATTGGTAGAGGGATTGAGTTTCGGAGCCATGAGGTCATGTTGCAGCTGTACAAAACTCTGGTGCGGCCGCACTTGGAGTATTGCGTACAGTTCTGGTCACCGCATTATAGGAAGGATGTGGAAGCATTGGAGAGGGTGCAGAGGAGATTTACCAGGATGTTGCCTGGTATGGAGGGAAGGTCTTATGAGGAAAGGCTGAGGGACTTGAGGCTGTTTTCATTAGAGAGAAGAAGGTTAAGAGGTGACTTAATAGAGACATACAAGATGATCAGAGGATTAGATAGGGTGGACAGTGGGAGCCTTTTTCCTCGGATGGTGATGGCTAGCACAAGGGGACATAGCTTTAAATTGAGGGGTGATAAATATAGGACAGATGTTAGAGGTGGGTTCTTTACTCAGAGAGTAGTAAGGGCGTGGAATGCCCTGCCTGCAAAAGTAGTAGACTCGCCAACTTTAAGGACATTGAAATGGTCATTGGATAAACATATGGATGATAATGGAATAGTTTAGGTTAGATGGGCTTCAGATTGGTTTCACAGGTCGGCGCAACATCGAGGGCCGAAGGGCGTGTACTGCGCTGTAATGTTCTATGTTCTATGTATAATTCTACATATATTGATTCGTGCAAGTGCACTTTCATAAATAGTAGACCATCCAATGTTGCTGCATTGTCAACTACTGTAATATCTTTACTTTTTTTCAAGAAAAATTGCATTCAGCTTTCTTGGGATTATGTTTTACTCCAAGAATACGTTGTTTTATAGTTCATTCTGAGTAAAATAATGGCATTGAGCAATGTCAAAAAATCACACTCAGGAGCCAGTGTTCAGATATTGTAAGTAGTCAATCTCAAGCACTGTTGTATGTTTAATCCTCCATTTAGCAACAGTAAACAAAGTGAAAGATACAGCAGAGGTGAAAGACATTAAGTAGACCAGATGACATCATTTTTGTGAATTATATTTGTGAAGCAAGATTTCCTCTCAACTTACCTTCCCCAGATCTACAACGAAACAATCTCCTTTATTAAAGCTGGCCCAGCTGAGAGGAACTTCTGTTGCTCTGACAACCCGCCTGCCTTTAATATGCAGCAGTCTCTTTGCAGAGAGGTCATTTGTAACAATATGTGTAAAACCAGAAGCGACACCACCGGCCTAAGGTAGCAAAAGAAACAAACAAAAGAGAATTTTTTTATTATTTGTCATTGGCTATGCAAATATGAGAAGCTATTAAGAAGAAACCCATTTAGGAAAACAATTTACTAAAAACAACAGGCATTAGTAAAAGTGATTTTTTTTAATGTTTATAAATAAATGTCAACACATATTTGCCTGGTTATGTATCACCTAACCTCTGCTCATAGAGCAGTGAGAACTGAACAGCTCTTCTGTACCAGCATGTTTGCTCCTGGTGGAAATTTGCATTCCAATAAGACACAGTGTTACTGCAATGGCACTTCAGGCAGTTATGCTTTGTTGATGCCTAACTTGCCAAGTTGTTACAAAATCGTCTGCTCTTGCCAAATGTTAAATCATCAATGTAGGACTTTAACTCAACATTGATCAGACAATGACAACAGACATTTACATACTTGAAGGTTATAGTGCAGTAAATAGTTTATAAGAAAACTGGTTACAGATACAAAATATTTTGACAAGATCAATAAATACGCATGGCCAGTAGAGCAGTAGATACAGGATGCTAGAAAGAGTTGAGCAGGGTTGACTGGAGAAGTCCCCTACTCTTCAGTTTGGAATGCCTGAAGGATCCAAATAAGTTAAAGTAAAAGCTTCTATGCTAACTTTTACAGATTATCTTCTCCTTTTGAACAACTTCTCCTTTAACTTGTCTCACTTTGTCCAAGTCAAAGATTCTCCCCATTGACACCCTCAATCTTATCTAATCCATCCTCCAGCACTTCTGCCCACACCCCTTCCTCTCCCTCCCAGAGCAATGATAACGCTCCCTTTGTCCTCACTTTCCACCCCATTAGTCTCCACATTCAAAGGAGCACCCTCTGACAATTCTGACATCTCCATCAGGGTGAACACATCTCCTCCTCACCTTCATTTTTCAGCATTCTGCAGGGACTGCTCCCTCCTGACATCCTGGTCTATTTGTCAACCACTCCAAACACTTCCTCACTCTCCCATGGCACCTTCCCATATGACTTCAGAATATGTAAGTCCTGCTCATTCACCTCTTCCCTCATCACCATCCAAGGTCCCAAACAAACCTTCCAGAGAAGCAATATTTCACTTGTACTTCTTTCTAATCTACTGGAAACTAGTATCCTATATTCACTGCTCACAATGTGGTCGCCTTTACAGTGACATGGCCAAATGCAGTGGGCAACAGCTTTGCAGAATACCATCATCTGTTTGTTGGAGTGGCTCCAACCTTCCAGCTGCTTGTCATTTCAATGAACCACCTTGCTCCCATGATAACATTTGCATTTTCGGCCTGTTCTATTTTTCCAAAGAAGCTCAATGCAAGCTGCATGAACAATATCTTATCCTCCATTTAGGCACTTTGCAATCTCTAGGAATCAACATTGAGTTCCTCAACTTCAGCCTATGACTTTTGTCCTCCCTTTTTTCTTACACACCCCCACTTCTGGCCATGTCTTCTTTGAATCTAATGGGCTTTGCTCTCAGCAGAGCAGATGTATTTTCTTCTTCTCACAGCTAACATTTATACATATTTTACATATCTATCACTCCCTACTGCTTTCATCGCTGCCTTTGTCTTTTGCTTTGGACACTTTCACAATCCATTTCATTGCTCTCCTACACAGTCAAAAGCTTAAAACCACCATATTCCGCTACCTTTTAGTTCCAAAGAAGTGTCATTCTAGACTCAAAACATTAACACTACTTAAGTTCTTGAGTAGATCTGTAGCTTGGGTTGTGGATGCTGTAGTTGGTTCGCTCGCTGAGCTGGTTCGTTAGTGCGAACTAATGAACCTGCTCAGCGAGCGAACCAACCACAGTATTAACACTATTTCTCTGTCCACAGTTGATGCCAGTCCTGCTAAGGCTCTCCAGAGCTTTCTATTTCTATTTCAGATTTCCAGCATGTACAATATTGTGCCTTTATAATATTTGGGAATTTCAACTCCTTTACTCTTAACTGGAATAGAATCAGTGTAAAAGTTATGGAGGGTACAGAGTTTTAAAGTATATTTAAAAGTTCAACAAGAGAAAAACCATTTCTACAAACTTTTAAGGAATGATAAAAGTATCAAGAGGAAAGCAATTTGTTTACATTTTCATAATTGAATTAGATCTAAAGTAGTTACGGAAATTGACAAAAACAGACGTGTAGAAAAATTCTTAAATGGGAAAAGGCCCATTATGCTAAGCGGATATGTGACTCAATGGAAAATAAACTGGAAAAGGCTACTTGAGGGAAAATCAGTGTCAAAACAGTAAGAAGTATTCATGGAAAACAGAACGAGGCTTCATAACATATATGACAGCGCAAGAAATGAAGGGAGAACTTCTGAATCTAGGCCACTAGTTGTCAAAGAACATACACAGTGGGAATGATACAAAAAGGGCAGCTTGCATCAGACACCAAAATTGAGGACAAAACGTAATGGAATATTGAAAGTGCAGGGTTGAAATTAAAAAGGAAACTAGGAAACTAAGAATATGAGAAAATATTGACAAGTAGAATCAAAGAAAACTCAAACACCCAAAGATATTTTACAAATAAGTAAAGAACAAGAAGTGAGCTGAGGAAAGAATAGGGCCTTCTGAGGATTAAACAGATAACCTACTTGTGATAGTAGAAGACATGTGAATAGTTATTAATTTACAATTTGGACTGTGGTTTCCTGAATTTTGGGGCAGGATCCTGATGTCAGAACCATCCCAGAGTCCCAACCACACATGGGTCAATCGTATGCTGACAGATGGAATCTTCCAGAAGGTATCGAATATGGATGACCAATGGGCTCCTAACATGGAAGGCCCAATAGGTTAGCTTGCAGCTCTGGTCTGACGATGGCTCTATCAGCAGAGGTGGGTGCTGATGGGGTCAGTAGGAAATCATGACAGCACATTAACATGCACATAATGTTGCATTCTGCAAGTATTTGGCTGAAGATGCCCACAGCAGGCAGGGCCATCGGTGTAGTGGGAAACTTCTGACTCGGGTTTTTTTTGACTGTGGTGTCTTGATGTTGCCAACTCATTCACTGGGGCACTAATGGTCCACTATCCTGTCACTAGGAAGGTGCAGAGAGCTGGTAGGTTCTGTACTTTGTTGAAAGTTCCAAACTCCTTCAGAAAATGGCCCCTAATTGGACTTTTTAAGTGGGGTAATTGATTGTTCATCTGATTGGAGCAGGCTTTCTTAACCAGCCACTCTTAGAAAGATCGCCCAGAGGAAGGAATGGCTTACCCACTATATTCATGACCCCGCAGCCTTCAGTTCAATATCCATGGGACTGGAATAATTCAGTTCTTTGTGGCTCTCTTCACCAAAAAAAAAGAAAAAATGCAGCTTTTGAAGGGGAGAATGGATGATTATATGAGACAGACACAGTAGAAAGGACTTTCAATGGATTTAGCATGGTTGAAAATAGATGCAAGCTGCATGAATTGCACTTTGATTCATTCACTGGATGTAGACCAGCATTTATTGCTGATCCATAACTGCCCAGAGTCAACCATATTGCTGTGGGTCTGGAATCATATATAGGCCAGACCATGTGAAAACATCAGTGAATCAGATGTTTCTTTCCCAACAATCGAAAATGGTTCTGTGGTCACCATTAGACTCTTAATTGTAGATTTTTATTACATTCGGCCTTCACCATCTGCCATGGGAGTATTTGAGCCCAGATCCCAGAACGTTATCTGGGTTTCTGGATTAATTGTCCAGTGATAACACAACTAGGTCAACGCTTTCCTCATATCCTAAAGTATAAAGAGAAGGAAGCAATGAAGGAAATTGCAGAAACTCTGACTGTCATTTTCCAGTCCTCCAAAACTACAGGTGTGATGCTGGAGGACTGTTAACATCATATTGTTGTTCGAGAAGTGATAAAGAAACAATTGAGTACTTACAGGCCATTCTGCTTAATTTTGATGCTAGCCAAGCTATTAAAAAGTTTTAGTCTTTCTTTGTTAAGACCTGGACTAAGTAGGAAAGTCAACATTGATTGTGACTAGAAAGTAATGCCTGAGTAACTTGATGGGATTTTGAGAAAAGATAAAAAGAATGTCAATGAGAGTTTCAGAGATAGTAGGAACTGCAAATGCTGGAGAATCTCAGACAACAAGGCAAACAGCTGGATGAACACAGCAGGCCAAGCAGCATCATAGGAGCAGGAAGGCTGACGTTTCGGGCCTAGACCCTTCATCAGAAAT